ACCCGAAGGCGTCCTGAGGGCCCCATCCATCACCACAGCTCCTCCCCCCCTCCCTCCTCCCCCCCCACACGCACATACAGACCACAGGCACAGTGCCACCATCGACTCCTGGGCACACTAAGAGTCGCGTCCTCAACCACCACCACCGCCACTGATCGCTCGCTCCTTCAAAATCATACAAACTCCGTCAACTCAGAACGGCGCGGAACCATGTCTGTGTAACGGAGTAGTTCTCGGCCTTTTTTATTTCTCCGTTTCCGTGGTTCCCCCTCAACAATAAACGATACTCCACATGGACCCAACCGCGTGTCTTCTTTTCAAGTTTCATTTATCATTCATTCGTTACGACAGGCGAAGAAAAAAAAACGGTGCCAATAGCTACAGGATAAGAGCATTTTCAGGGGTTTTCCCACCGACTGATATATATATATATATATGCGAGTTGTTCTCTCAGCGGTTACGGGAGGTGAGACGAGGCTATGGTTACTCACATGTCCTACTCTTCCAAGAGCTACATCGCCCACCCCCCCAGAAGGCATCCCGTTGCCCCCCCCCCGTTGGAGACCCCCGTTGGACTAATCACAGCCACCTAGGAGAAGCCAAGATCTAATATGCTCCACTGACGAGCCATCTCCGGACCAGAAAAAACAGCCTTTCCCTAACGATTCCTTTTCTTTCTGAAACGATCCGTCACCGGCCAAGCAACCAATCAATCAGGACCCTGAGTCACACCCCAAAGTCACCACCAAGAGCAACCAATCATGCGTATCTCCTAATGTCGCTTCGGAGTAACCTTATCAGCGGGGAAGAAAAAACTTATCAGCGGAAAATAACAGAAAAGAACCAACGGACCCCCGACCCCCCCTCGCGCAAAACAGTCAGTCTCGCATGAGCAACGACGACGCAATGACCAACCTTTTCGCTCCTACCAAAACAAGCCTAAATGAACGAATACAACCGCTACAAAAAAGACAAAAGACAAAAAAAAAAAAAAAAAAAAAAAAAAAAAAAAAAAAAAAAAAACATCAACGACATCATCGTCAAGAAGGATACATGGGCGAACAATATACACATTTGCTAAAATAAAACCCCACCCATTAGCCTGTGTCACAACACCATCGCTCCCTCACAGCTCGCCGGCAACGCAGTGACCACAGTGATATCCTCCTCCTTCCTCCTTCACCCTACTTCCTCCCCCTCCTTCTCCCTCACCCTTCTTCTCCTTTGCCCTCCTCCCTCAACCACCACCTCTTTCTCCCTCACCCTCCTCCTCCCTCTCCTTGCACCCTTCCCACCCCTCCTTCTTTCCTTTATGGGTGTGGTTGCTCCTCCATAAACCCAAATGGCACTAGGCCTGAAATTGTTAATATTTTTCTTTATGTTCTGGCTCGAATGGCAGCCGAAGGAAGCACAGGAGGCGAGGAGGTGTACATATAAATATGGGTTTATGTGCATGTCGAAAGGGAGAGGGAGAGGGGGGGAGGGGGAGGAAGAGGAAGAGGGACAGGGAGAGAGAGAGGGAGATTGTATGTACATGTTTATGTATATGTATATGTGTTATATATGTGTTAGTTTGTTAGTTTGTCAGTGTGTGTGTGTGTGTGTGTGTGTGTGTGNTAGGGCCACTTGTGTGAGGTCGGGTTGTAACGCGTACTCGCACGCACGTACACCCAGTCATACGGAAACGGACTTGTATACAGACAGACATTTATACTGACAAACACACAGACACATATATATATACATAGACACACACATAGACACATACACACACATAAACACACGCACGCACGCACGCGCGCGCACACACACACACACACACACAACCACACACACACATAGCACACACACACACACACACACGCACACAAGCACGCACCACAACACACACACACACACACACACACACACACACACACACACACACACCTGCTCGAACTTCTTCCTTCTCACGGGATATACGTATTGCATGGTGTTTGTCTTGAAATGAACTTAGAAAGAACTTAGATAGAACTTAGATAGAAAGATGCTATAATGATCCTTAGAGATGTTGTAGATCTTATTGAGAATCCTCTGATAGTGAAAAAAAGAGATTAGTATTATTTACTAGCTATAGCGGACAATAATTTAATACTGATGTACTTTCCTATCTTTATATGTCATATTTTCATCCTTTCAGAATCGGGAGAAAGATGCAGTGTCATCCACTGCCAGAAGAAAGTTGCCGAGAATTCCGGTAGGTGGCACCACTGGCGAAAAATACATGAAAATATTCCTGTGATGTTTTTGATATATAAAAGATTGTTAGGGAAATGCGCATCTAACAAAATAAATGATCAATTAAATGTTGTTCATTTGATAAAAAACGTAAAGAAAAATATAGTCATCAGACCCAATATACATAGGTTTAAGGGGCCCCTTAAACCTATGCAAATCACCTAAATTACGACCACAATTCTAAAAAAAAAAAAAAAAAAAAAAAAAAAAAAAAAAAAAAAAA